AGTGACCCACTTCCTATGCTCAAAAGCCATAGGATATCTTTTGGGATTCAAAATCCCTTTCTTTAGTTGCCCAAGTGGCATCATTCTCTTTGTCTCCCTCACCGGTGCCACAAACTCACTGGAACATGGTGAGGTGACTACCCAGTCCACCTTAGACAAGATGAAAACCAGATCAAAACTTTTCTTAACACAAAAATAACACCATTTGCATGCCTTGATTCCAACGTTGGTCAAAAACAAAACATACAATTATTCTTATACACTAATTCTACATCACCGTTGGTCAGAAATAGAATTAATGCATAAATCTTTAACTTTCACAATCTGTTTTACACACTAATTCTACATCACCGTTGGCGTAAGTAGAATTAATGCGAAATCATTAAAATTAACAACTTTTCTTATACACTAATTCTACATCACCGTTGGGCAGAAGTAGAATCAATGCATAAATCATTAAAATTACGATATTGTTATTAACAACGTTGGTCAGAAAATAACAACATCATAATCATATCAAAACTATTTTTCTCCAATTAAATACCACATTGGTTCAAAATAACTGGAGAATCAACAATTTCTTTAGCAGCGGAAAAACTTTCTTTTTCTCCTTGAATTTTACCCACAGGGAAAATTTCTTTTAAAAAAAAAACTGATTCATACTCCAGACTTGCTCCTTCGCCCAAAAGCGGCGAGGTGGCCCACATTACCTGGCGAAGGCGCTTCACTTATCCGCGCCAGCCGCATAACTGGGCTGGGCAGAAATTGAAAGGGCCTTTCGCCCTTCTGTAGGTGAAAGCCGCTTCTTTTGAGCCGTTCGATGGAGATCGACGGCTGCGCGTCGATTTCGCTCCAACAAAACCCCCCGGCCGCGGCCTTCGACCTGAAACCCTAGGTCATTCGGCCTTCTCCTCTCTCTGTCTTCACCGCTCTCTCTTCTCTCCTCACAACGAAGCCGAGCCAAGCAGCCTTGAAGCGAGCGCAAACGGTGGAGCGATGAGCCACTGGCCCGTCGCCGGCCCCCTCGCCGGAGTCGCTGATATAACCCAATGGTGAGCTGCCAGCCGTCAGCAGCTTTACATTACCGAGCTTCGGCGAAAAACTTCCAGCTGCGGTCTTCTTCTCCCTCGCCGACGTAAATAGTTACGCCAGTACGGTGCACGCGAGATCTTTTTCCTTTCTTCTTCCCCTTCGGATTTGAGTTATTTTTCTCTATTTTCTTTTCGCTTGTTCATCCGAAAAGAGGATCTAGGGTTAGGGTTCGGTTGAACCCGATTCGTGTTTTCTTTTGTTTCTTTTCTTTTCTTATTTGTGCAATCCCCTTTTCCCTTCCACGCTATGAGTTAGGGTTAGGGTTCCGTTGAACCGATTCGGTTTTGATTCAAGATCTTCAGATAGGCCCTTCCCCACGGTCATTTCTTGGGTTGAGGTTCGGCTCAAGTGCCGAGAGCCCTCTTCGCATCCGAATGGATCTTGTTTTCTTTTCTTTGTTTGACCGATTTGGGTTAGGGTTTGTGTGTTGTTCCTGTTCTTTTCTCTTCTTTCAATTTCCTTTCTTTTCTTTTATTTCTTTTCTCTTTTAGATTTAGGGTTCGGCTCTCTTTAAGTCTTAAGGCTGAAACCTTTCTTTTCTTTTTCCCCTTTAACCCGATTAGGTTAGGGTTCATGTCAAGGCCCTTGATTTTCTTCTTCTCTCGATCCGAACACGGATCTGTTTTTTTTCCCACACGCAGGTGACCGCAGACAAGAGACATTGTCTCTCTCTTTTTGCTTTTACCCGGTTAGGGTAGGGTTACACACTTAGTAACCTGCTCTGGTACCATTGTTAGAATCGATGTGAGTACCTCTGTGTGTAACCCGTAGATCCGGTTAGGCTCCTTACTGCTATTGCGCAGATCGGCAGCGACGAGGCCGATGCATATGTAGAGACGCCGTCGTAGTGGCGAGGAGGTGAAGTCCAAAGTCTTTGACTGCAGTGGTCCGATGGTGGCCTCCTGAGAGCGGCAGGGTGGCGGGCTCATCCGTCATTGGGAGATCGGATTAGGGTTTTCTTTGGTGGGTGTGGCGGCCCGGCGAACCTCATTTTGAGCTCGATCCCCACCTTCTCTATTTGTATGTCTTTGTCGACGGGGCCCACCAACCAAGCTTAGGTTGGGCTCCCCGATCGGAGCAGAGAGTAAGGGCCCAATAGGCCGTTGGGCCTATTGGTGGAGATCAACTAACAGGGAGCAGCCGAGCAGCTGCCCGTCGGGGAGGCGAGCGGCCAGCAGAAGGAGGCCATTTTGAACGGCGGAGGCAAGTTGGAGTTTGTGGCGGGGCGAGCAGGGAAGGTTGTGGCGGGGCGACGGCGTCGTGGTGGGGCGAAGACGGCGCGGCGCGGCAGCGGAGTGGACCGCAAAGGCAACCGCGGTGGTGGAGGCGGCAGAGTGGAGCCGGCTTGCGGCGTCGAGGCGGCGGAGTGGGGAGCAGGCGCCCTTGCGGCGAGGCGGAGTGGGGCGCAGGCGCAGGCGGCGAGGCGGCAGAGTGGAGCCTGCTTCGGCGGTGCGCTTGGGAGGACGGAGGCGTGTGGGAGCTGGGAGGATGCCGGAGCGGGGAGGAGAACGCGGTCGCGCTGAGTGGAGTCGCGGGGTCGAGCGCGTGGCCCCACATGTCGGCGCAAACAGGGAGTTACGGAGGTGTGCGCCTGCCTAGTGGCTTCACCACGGTCCTCTCTCATCTTTTTAGGAGTAGATAGAGATTACCTAGCTACTCTATGGAAGGATTCTGCATTGCTATGTGTCCTTTCAAAAGACATGTTTATTCATTGATTCTCCTAAACCAATACAACTCACTTGTCCTCCAAAATTTTCATCAATCCAACTCATTGGTTCACCTCTCTTTCCATAATATCACTACTCAAAGGGCCATCCTCTGGTAACTACTCTAGGTCATGAAGTCCCTCTTGTTAAGATCTTTTTATTATTTTATATTCTCCCATAAGGTTATTATAACCCCATCCCTTAAAAAAGTTTAGGGTGGAGGAGGGGGTTTACTTTGTTTGATTCTTCATAATAACAAATGCAAGGTATTTTTTTTATAAAAGGAGAATAGATCAAGTTTCTATTATTGTCAATGATTATCAGAGTTTAGCTGGCTAGTGTTTCTAAATTTTGTGAGAATTTATAGGATTTATATTTCTCCTAGTGCATCTCATGAGAACTAACGTGAAGGCTCTTTTAGGCATTGAATGAGACATTGAGGAGAACTGCATAGGTGCAAAGGGTATCTGCTAGAACTTTTTTTTCCCTATAAAATCCCCTTTATTACTAAATATAGGGGGAAATGGATCTTTTTTTTTGTTAATTTGGTGGATTTGCTCTAAGCCTGCATTAGGCCTCTTCATTTCCAAACTAGAATTGCGTTTCCATTTGTTCAATCCAACCACGATGTTGGTAAGTTGGTTGTTGTTCAGTCGATCTGATCACCAGAGGAAATGACCTGTCCAGATTTTCATCCTGTAAAAATGAATACCAGAATGGCCTACAAGAACCAACACCTTGTGTATGCCTGTGACATGATCAAAGCATGTGTTAACTGATTGTGCACCTAATTCCAAACACACATGGCATATGCACCGAAAATGTTGGGCTGCGGCCTAGGTGTGAAATCTATCTAGGATGGGCCGGGCGGGAGCACAAGTCAGGAAGCAGCCACAGTAGAGAGTAAGAGCGAGTGTGAGAGAGACAGAGTGACTGAATGACAGGCACACAGCACTGTATGCCAGCCATGTGCATATTTGCCATTTTGCTAAGCCAGCGATGGGCGATGGCAAGCAAGTCAAGGAATCGATCGAGGAAGCAAATTTGCACTCAGTATCATCATCACCAGTTTAATAATAATTACTCCTATGAATTAATAATATATCTAGGAAAAATTGTGTTCTTACCCCTATCCAGTAATTTAATTGTGATTTTGTCTTTTCTTTTTCAACTTTGTATTTTTACTCTTGTTATTTTAAACTGAAAGGTCCGTTTGCTCCCTTACTTCTGACGTCCGTAAGATGGACATAGATTAAACGAATTAAAAAAATTCTAAATCATAAGACCATAGTGCCCCTAATCCTTGTATCCTCGTCCCAGACGCATAGGGCGCCGTCGCTCACATCGGGCTTGGGCGCGGCTTTTCCAGCGGCGGCTGCAGAAGCACCAAAGGCAGGGGAGGCCATGACTCCAGGTTCGGGCGCAGGGAGGGGCTGCTTCAAGGTGCGGGCGCGGCCTTCCTCTAGGCGCGGGGAGGCTGCGGCGCCCGCCCGCGGGTCGGCGTGCGCGCGCCGGGCGGCGGCGGCGGCGCCCTGCCGCGGCTCACCGGCGGCGTCTGCCCGCAGGTCCCGGCGGTGCCCGGCCGCGGGTCGTCTTCTTCCTCTGGGCGCCCAGCTTCGTGGCTGCAGGGGCGGGCGGAGCGGCATCAGGGCGGGCGGAGCGGGCGGCTCCGGTGCCTGGACGCGGCTCCCGGTGGCGCCTGGCAGCGTGTCTCCGCGCCGCCTCCTCCCCTCCTTCCTCCGCTCCTCCCCACGCAGGCTCCCGTGCCCGCCTCCTGCTGCCCCGCTGACGGCGCCGCACCCGGCCACCGATGGGGCCGCCCCGGGCGTCGTCGCACCTTGTGATGAAGGGAAGGCAGCAGTCAGTGGCCCGGCGCATGCACTAGGTGCTCCTGCTCCTCATCGTCGACCTTGCCCTCTAATCCGCAGGTCAGCACGGTTTCCATCCCCTCTTGGTCTCTCCCCTCTGCCGTTCTGCGTATCTCCCAAGCGAATTCAAATTAGGCACTGCCGGTGAGTGGTAGCCCGCGGTGGGGCGCAGCTGGCGTCGAGGCCTTGTGTCCTCAAGAGGTGGCGCGGCCCTCCTTTTCCCCTCCTCCTCCGCTGGGCTGGTAGTAGAGTGTTGAGATCGCCGGATTAATCTTTGTTTTGCTCTGATGTGCAGGACTGCTTGGTTGAAACCCATGCCCGTTTGTGAATCAGAATGGCTGCCCTGAGGATTCAAACCCCAGCTGGTCCTCCGAAACTCAGAAGGCGCAATCTTGCTAGCAACCCAGTCCATGTGGGGCTAGATTTGGTTGGGTTTAGTTCCTGGATGTTGCCAATGGGGGACCACAGGTGTGCAGGCAGCGCAGTCGTCACAAGCCATGGTGTTGGATATGTTGGTGCTGGGAGGAAGAACTGTCCAGAGGCATTCTTGAAGAATGGTGTGGTCTGCTCTTTCGATGATAGTGGTGTCAGGGTGTCTACGCTGTGTTCATCTCTTCCATCTGAAGCTGTAAGTTTCGGCAGCAAAATGTCATTAGTTAATTCAATGGGCTTTGCACAGAAGAAGAAAGGGGGTAAGTTATGGCGGAGATTACAGGGTGGTAAGAAATTGGTAAGGCATAGAGCTCCGAAGCATGGCCTGGGAAAGGACAGGCATGGCCACAAATCTGTAGTTAAGGATGATGATATTGATGTTGTTTTGTCCAGGATAAGCAAGGAGTCCAGCATTGAAGAGTGCAATTCTGCTCTGATCCGTCTTGAGAAGCTCAGCGATGAGAAGGCTCTTAACTTTGATTGGATGAAGGTTAATGTGAAGCTTAAGGGGAATGCTCATGCATATCACCTAGCTCTCCAAGCCATTGCCTGGAAGGAGGACTGGAAGATGGCTGAGCTGTTGCTTCGTGAAATGGTTGCTTTTCTTGTTCGGGCTTATGGAGCAGTAGGAAGAATGCATAAGGTTCTTCCGATTCTACAAGCTTGTTTCAACAAGAAGATTTTGCTTGATGCTACCTCATGCTCTATTTTAGTAACATCATTTGTTAAAAATTCTGTACTGGAAGAAGCTTTGTACATTCTGCGTGAAAAGAAGTGGAAAGATTCTGCTTTTGAAGACAACCTATATCATATATTGATATGTTCTTGCAAAGAGGGTGGCAGTTACAATGATGCTGTTAGGATATACAATCAGATGCCTAAGTCTGAAACACATCCAAATCCCCGTATTTCTTGCACAATGATTGATGTTTTCTGCATGATGGAGAGGTTTGCCGATGCTGAAGCTATTTACCTTGAACTGAAGGTTTCAGCTTCTGTACTTGATATGATTGCTTACAGTGTCATTGTGAGGATGTACATTAAAGCACGGCGACTAGAGGATGCTTGTTCAATTTTGACAGAAATGGAGAAACAAAAAGAATTGTGTTTGATTCAGGCCAGCAGAGCACCCAGCTAACAAGTTCAGCAGAGCCTTGTGTTTGATTGGAGTAGCTCTGTTCTTTGCCAAATTTCTCTGAATTTTGCATGTAAAAATTTTAGTCGACCCTAATCAAATTTGTTCTTGGTATATAACTCTACCAGTTTGATTCAAGGGCAGAGATCGAATTCTTGGTATATAACTCTACCAGTTTGGTATATATCTCTGTCGGATGGCGTCGCTTCTCCTCCCTCGTGCTGGTGCTGCCTACGACCCGGAGCCGTCGCCCTCCCGCGCCCACGCCGACGGCGAGGAGCCACCATGGGGCCGACCTGCCGGCTCGTGCACACGACTCGTTACATCTATCATCATTATGAACCTTTTGGTCCCAAAATTTTGAATATTTATCAATATTAAATCTGAGTTTAAATAATTGCAAGTTGTGCCAAATTTGTTTGACCAAATTTAATCAATTATCAGCATATAATAAAAAAAGTCTAATTCTAAATCAGGATAAAATCACAATTAGGCATAACAAACAGGGACAAAATTGCATGGGCATTTATGTCCTTTTGTACGAAGTTTAACATCGTTAGGGGTGGATGACGGAGCAGGGGCAAACTGGTGCTTCGTGAACGGCACAGTAGGGGTAAATTCACAGAGTCAAAAAAAAAAAAAAAAAAGAGGACAAAATCATAATTTCGATACAAAACAAGGGTACAAACGCAAGAACCCCATATATCTACTAGGCTAGAAGAAGCAAAGCAAATCTGAATCTGGCATCCATCCAGGCGTTGCCTTGGCTTGAGATTTCAGATCCAGTCTCCACTCAGTGGAAGGGATGGGATCAGATCAGAATAACTGAATAATTAAGAATACGTCTCAATCAGATGATGCATGATGAGAAGATGTTGAGATGAGATCGTGTCTCTGTCCTGCCTGCCTCCCTCCTTGCTACTAAAATGCAGCAGAACTGTATCTACGTGTTGCCATGGTGGGGTGCCCAAGTGCCCAAGTGGGTGGTGAGGTGGCCCTTGTGTTCTTGTCTTCTTACTGCATTTTATTATATATAATATATATAATATATATGGGTAGTGTATATAAGAGATCGACCAACCAGCGAATAGCTCGGAGCTGGAGCTGGAGCTGGAGCTGGGAGTTGGACTGCTGAACTGCTGGCGTGGAGTGGAGGAGTCAGGAGTGGTGTTGCCCACGCAGAAGCAGGCTCCTTTTCATCAGGTCCGGAGGCAGAGAGGGACTGAGGCCTGAGGGGGGGAAAGAGCAAGGGGAAGCAGAGAGCAGCAGCCGTGGAGTAGAGCAGACAGATTGAGTCCCCAAGATGAGGAGCTCCGTGTCTGAGCGCAGCCTCATCATCGAGAGCGACGACGACGACGACGACGACGACGACCGTCCCCAATACCAGCCATCCGCCGCCGCCGCCGCCGGCAGCAGAAGACGCCACCGCCACGAGGAGGGCTCCGGCTCAGGATCCGACTCCGAGTCCGGCTCCTCCTCGTCCTCCTGCGCCACCCCGCGCGGTCACGCACAGGCCACCGCCTCCTCCTACACCCAGCAATGGCCACAGAGCTACAGGTCAATCTCTTCCTTGCCATTTGCCATTACATTTTATACATTCCGCTTTCCATTTATTTGACCCACCGCCCACCATGAATCCCGATACAGCAACACTGAATTCCATTTCATTTTCGTATCCGGTCCATTGAGCCCTCACCAGGTGTCAGCTCAGTCCACTGTCATAGTAGCCAGATTAGATAATCCACCTCAGCACAACACATGCAGACACCTGTTACATCTTCATTTTCAAAACATCCTGTCCTCATGACCTTTTCCAAAGATGTACATAGTTTTGTTCGTTTTCAAAAATTTAAAAATAAAATGGAATTCTGAAACTAAAAGAAAAATAAGTGTTCCACCAGCAGAATCAGATTCTTTTTTCTTCTTCTTCTCTGAACACGCAGGCACAATCAGATTCTTATACAAAATAAAATAGTTGACCTCTTGTGTTATCATGGTACCAAAAAGAAAATCTATCACAATAGTTTGTAGTTTCTGTCACCCATGGCAATGCTAAGGCATGGGCAGGGCAGGACGAGTTTACTCCACAGATTAGAGATCCAGATGAACTGAACTTCCATATATATCGATTGCTCATACATGCATACTGGATCACCAACATGCACGGCAACATTCCGTTTGTGTCTATTATCTGCTTCTCTATCCGTGATCCATTTTTTTTACAAGATCCATCACAAGAATGACCGAAGTAGTAGTTACATGATTTTCTTTAGAGCTCTCTTTAACTCACATAAATCACATATATTTCTCTCGCTTCTTTTACTGTACAGGCAATCCATCAACATTCTTAGTAGCGTGCAGTCACCAAATCTGAGCTTCTTGGGGACCCCAACTCTAAGCAGATTATCCAACTCTTTCATCACCAATTCTTTTCGGGGTAAAACCCCTGAAATCATCTCTAATCTTGTTAAGCCACTTCTTCGCCCCACTACAAGTGATGACCTTCAGCAGCAGCAGCATGAAGAAAGAAAGAGTTCGCAGTACCTTCTGCCTTCGAGAAAACCGTCTTTGCAACAGATTCCTGAGGATCAAAAGCCAGTGCCAGTTGCTCATGGGGTCTCTCCCTATCATAAATGCTCTTACACCCAGGCGGTTGTGAACGGTAAGCACCTACAACTGATTTCTGATGTTTGTGATACATGTCTGGCTGCATACATGTCTGCCTCTCCTCAAGCTATTTTTCTTGCCTTCTCAACCCAGCATGATAGATAGGGCCCTCAATCATCGATATCATTGAATTATTCTTGTGACATGTGCCATTGTTGAATGCTGGCTTAAGCATTGATGCATGAACCAAACCATTGCTTACTTCAGCGAATGTTTGCATCAGCTTTACTTAGCTAAGTGGTTCTTGGTTTTAATAAGTAGAAAGCATCCAGAGTTGCCAATTATTTCCCCTCAAAAAGGAAAAAAGATAATTGTCAATTATGTTTTCTTCAGTACACGCTCTTCTCCTGATTATTGCACCAATTCAACATTCTACTTCTTTTCCCCTTGTTCTGCATATGAAAGTGACTTTGCATGCTTGATCAGTCAGCACAACCATGTGTGGCAGTGGTCCCACAAAATAGATCTGCAAGCTGTACTTTTGCTCAAGGACAAACCTGATATTATCTTGGGGCCTATTTATGAGTTTGCCTTCTTTTTTTCACCTTGCACCCTTGCGCCTACTGTTTCCAAATGACTAGAGGCAATGGTGCAAACTGCAAAGTGAAAAAATAGGACAAACTCATAGTTGGGCCTCAAAGCGTAGCGTGGGCAATCATGCAATTATCTCTAAACAAAATTTGTAGGTCATCGATCTATCACCATAGTTCTTATCCCTTATACCTGTGGAGTCACTATTTTGAAGTTTTGGTATGTATAATTTATTAAAGTTATAGATCAGAAATGTCATAAGCAGCTTAACTTTTATTTGGAAGGTCTAGCTTTATACTTTGGATGGCTTTTTATCAATAATGTCATTTTATATATTATATTTTATTTAGTTGTTTCTTTCTAGAGATGGCTCATGTTGGGTTTCATCTCTAGCCTACCCCAACTTGCTTGGGACACGATGGCTTTGTTGTTGTTTGAAATTTGGTAATAAATGTATATTTAACCTGAATGGTGTAATAGATTTTGCACCATAGATAGGTCCTGCAACTTTTAATGAGAACTTTCTTGTTTCCCCATTGAGCTTGTACTATGCTTTTATGCAGGAATAAATGTTCTATGTGGTGTGGGAATCTTATCAACGCCTTATGCCATCAAACAAGGGGGCTGGCTTGGACTGGTGATACTCTGTTTATTTGCAATTCTAGCATGGTATACTGGTGTGCTCCTGCGCCGTTGCCTGGACAGCAAGGAGGGCCTTGAGACATACCCAGATATTGGCCATGCTGCCTTCGGAACCACCGGTCGTATAGCCATCTCGGTATGTAATCTTATAAATAACTGATTCAATTTCTGCACATTTTCAATATGATGTGAATGAAGGAATGCTTTTGTGCTAACTTACCTTTTTCCTTGTTTGTGGTTTCCCTGTTGCAGATAATCCTGTATGTGGAACTATATGTAAGTGTTTATTACTAACCATCTATCTCAATCAAAATTAGGTGTTCCAAGTAGTGAAACAAAACGATCTGCACCAACAACTTGCATATCCTATACATAAACAGAAGGAAAAAAAAAACATAGCTATCAACACTATGGTAACTACACAACAAGCTCAACTATAATGGTATTTTTCAGTCAAAGAAAAATAAAGAAAGAAGTCCCTTCACAAGAAAACAAAAACATCAGCTCTGGTTTAACATGAGGATGAGATCATTAATCACAAGCATGCTAATCATAAGTTGGAACCAAAATAATTGTAAGACAACCAAAATAATTTATGCAGTGATAATTCAAGTTGAAATTGCTAGGGTTAGACAAGAACCAAAATAATATCAACCTCCTAGACAATTGTAAGATCATGCAAAGTAGAAGTGACATAAGTTGGGGCCAGTGTTTGAAGGGCGCAATGGACTTCACACACCTTAAACCTGTCATTCTTTCATCAGAAAAATAGAATACACAGAGCAGGTTTAGGGTCTTATGAGGTTAAAAAAAGGGCAGACCCAGTGCCGGAGGCTCCCACATGAGTGGGGTCTGGGGAAGGGAAAAACTGAAGCAAGCCTTCCCCCCCCGCAAATCTGCGGAGAGGCTGCTTCGAACCCACGACCTGGCGACTCAGTGAGACAGCTCTCACCACTGCACCAAGCCTGCCCTTCTTGTTTAGGGTCTTATGAGGTTAATAAAACTAAAAATAACATTCTTTCTTTCTGAAGAGTAACAGTCCTAATCTGCTGTGCAGGCCTGTTGCATCGAGTATCTGATATTGGAAGGTGACAATTTATCAAAATTATTCCCCAATGCACACCTGACCATTGGGAGCTTGACAGTGAACTCCCATGTACTTTTCGCAATCTTGACTACCATCATAGTCATGCCGACCACTTGGCTCCGTGACCTTAGCTGCCTGAGCTACCTTTCAGGTCTCCATTTACCTGTTGCTTTGCATTTTGTTTGACAATGCTTTGCCACAGTCAGTGTGTATTCTCTTCATTTATTTCTGACGTACGCTCTTCCCTCTTGGTGTACCACTCATGGTTTCTCACTAAGTTGATGCGTTTGTAGCTGGAGGTGTCATTGCATCAATCCTTGGAGTCATCTGCCTATTCTGGGTAGGTGTTGTTGATAATGTTGGCTTTGAGAACAAAGGAACTGCGCTGAACCTCCCTGGAATCCCTATTGCAATTGGATTGTATGGTTATTGCTACTCAGGGCATGGGGTGTTTCCAAACATCTACTCTTCTCTGAAGAATCGTAATCAGTTCCCTTCAATCCTTTTTACTTGGTAATCAGCTTATCCACATTCCATATTTTTCCCCTGAAATGCAGCACTCAAATTTGTTTTTTCTTGTCAGCATTGGGCTGTCTACCATTTTATTTGCTGGTGCAGCGGTGATGGGATACAAAATGTTTGGTGAAGCCACAGAGTCTCAGTTCACACTGAACTTACCAGAGAATTTAGTGGTTTCAAAGATTGCAGTTTGGACCACGGTAATTGTTGCTGCCTAAACCATTTGAAATTCCATTTCTAAGAAGTCAAGACACCTGAACTTTTGGTTTGTTTAGTGCATGGGATAATCATATGGTGTAGGGTGTGTGTTTGTCTCTTTTATGCCACAATAAAAATTGCCGACACCAGTCTTATTAGGATCTTTTCTCTTATTTTTTGGCGAGGATGTTAGGTCCTTTTATCTGATGAGCAGCTCTCATCCACAGTTATTTTGATTCCTTCATGCTGAACCCTGTCAATAATATCACCTCTCATTTTTTATTGCAGGTGGCAAATCCAATAACCAAATATCCTTGGTGTGCTAATATTGTCTCTATTTTTTTCTTGAACGGGTGCCATTCTTTTTCTTGAAAGTGGTCTAGTCTCAAAATGGAGCAGAGGAAGTGTGTTTCTGTAGCTATTTGCTCAATAGATTTCAGAGCATTCTTTTATGCAGCTATATTTGGCTAGATAGTTCTTTATTTTCATGATACTTATGACATTCTCAAACTTGTTATGTCCTTAACGAATAATCACATATGCATTAACCATAACCCCACTGGCTATGAGTTTGGAGGAGTTGCTGCCACCAAATCAACAGAAGTACTCAAACATAGTCATGCTTAGATCGGCCTTGGTGGTGTCAACCCTCCTCATTGCTCTATCTGTACCCTTCTTTGGTAAGTTCATGAGCATATTTGGTACTATTATCATAAGGTCCAATCATGACACGATCCACCAATCTGTTTTTGAGCTTTGACAGGACTTGTGATGGCCTTGGTTGGTTCTTTACTCACGATGCTTGTGGTAAGGATCTGTGTTCACCTCATCAGATGTTCAATCCTTATATCAATCTGTGAGGCTAAAGCGTGTTTTCATTGTAGACCTATATTCTACCTTGTGCGTGCTTTTTAACAATCCTGAGGAGAAAAGTGAGCTGGCACCAGGTATGAATATATGTAAATAATATTTACTAGATTTGCATTATTTCATGAACAAATGAGCAGAAATATCTGTATCCTAAGTGAAATGGGCAAATAGCATAAAGATGATGAAGAAAAGATGAATATGATTTGCTTTGAAACATGGTAGAACTAAGACTCTGTAATCTGAGTCCCTTACGCTGTGTCGAGAAAAAGAAAATGCATGCTAATGCAACTAATGGGATCTATTTGGATTCACAGGTAGCAGCGTGCTTGTTCATCATCGTGGTCGGGGTTTGCTGCGCGTGTGTGGGGACATACTCATCTCTGTCAAAGATAATCCAGAACTACACATGAGCGCACATGATACAGCTGTTCCTGCAATCCAAATTTAGTTACTCCTACATATATTTGTACAGTAACCGAACCATCCCATTACTCATGTGCTCACGCTATGAGCCATACAAGACAAATTTTGCCCGGCAAATTAGTCAAGTTGATGTATAATAAATTTGTGTGATGTCAATGCTTGCATGTTAATGGATCAACATAAATACTTTTGTAGCAAGGATTTGAGGTTGTATCATGCATATATGTAACAAGACATTATTTGTGAATTGTCACACAAAAGATCAGGTGGATCTTGTGCTGTCATTTTTATGCTGTTTTGATGTTGTCAATATGTTTCTCGTGGCAAGATTCTTTTTTCTAGGAAGTAGAGGAAAATGAATATAAGAGAAGGAACCAATAGTCTGGACAATCAATATCTCCATCTGATTTTCCTTTTGATTGTCTTCTATTGAACCTGCATCCGTGGGCGGCCGGTTGTCGGACAGACTGCAGCCGGTTGTTGGAGAGGGACTGCAGGTCTGCAGCGAGGCGGATTGGCCAGCGGGGAAGAAGGGAGGTTGATGCGGTGGACCCAAACAGGCTTGGCCCATTCTAACAGTTTGGCCCAAGCTTGAAAGAGGGTCTGTTTAGCACGGCTCCTCAATGTTCTCCTCCCGAGAGGAACCGGGGCACTTAAAGAGGAGCCACGTACCTTTTTGCGCCTTCGGTTTCTTCTCTTGATATGGCTTCGGCCTCTCTACTATTATCCAAAAACGGCTCATCAAAATGTGTTTGGCATGGCTCCTCCGTAGAAGGTGCTTCGGAGTCGGAGCTGAAGTCATGCCAAATAAGTCCAAAATGTTGCCAAATATATTACCAAAATTATGCATGCCCAAGTTCTGAATGAGGTTCACTATTTAAACTTGAATTTGAGGTGAGAGGCGAGAGTTTGACTTAAATTTGGCCTATTGCTACATGAATTCAAGCACCAAGCAAAACATTTCAAAATTTTGGTATTTTTACAGCCATTCGCATAGCAATAAAAAAGGTGTTATATACATGTTACAATGACTTTGTACGCGTTGGGTGATCTTGTGTACGTCGGAGTGTTTCTAAGTTGAACTGCATGAATATTTACCAAAATTATACATGGCACATAGTTCTATGGTCAAGGTGTACATGTGAAAGGGTTCACTGGAGCAAAAGGATGGTGAAGTTGCAAGTCAATGCAAAGGGCCGGATGCTTTGTACATGCTGGATGGTCTGGTGACAATAAGGTCCTAGACTCTAGGCAATACGTCATAGATCTAGAGAAGATTTAAAGTGACACGGTTGGTAAGTTGCACATATAGGATGGTCCGGTGATAATAAGAAGATATGCATCGGACAAGCTGATGTTCAGTACTGTGGCCGACAACTGGAGTTCTATCGGGTAGTTGTGAGTTGTGAACGATATATATGGTCTGTCCCATTGCACACTGTGTTCGTTCTCGCCACATCATCTTGTATTCGCAGAAAAATTGAGCTGTTGTAACAACGAATAGTTTGAGGTGTTGAGGCTATAAATACACCCCACTCGGTCATTTGAGGTTGCAAGACTTCAAAACAAGCCACACACTTGAGAAAACATCCAAGCCACCTAAGAGCTAAATATGACCTTCCAAGAAAATTAACACAAGAGTAGAGAATGATTAGTGCCATTTTTCCTAGAGAGTGATTGTTGGGTGTTGCTACCTAGGGAGGGATCAAGGAGTGATCCCACCATGTACTACTGCAAGCTCCTTGGAGCCTTTGAGGCTCATTGACACCTTGAAACCTTATAGAGGCTCAAGCTTGATCCTCTAGCTTGGTGTGTGGAGCGACGACAACGCAAGATGCTTGTATGAGGACATGGAGAGCCTTGACTTTGCAGCTTAAGATATGAAGTAAGGACGACGATGACATGTCAATGGATGGGAGGCTAGTGGTGGCATACGCCTTTGTGTGTGGAGTGTGGGTGGTTCATTCAGCTTGAGCTCGATCAAGTGCCATGAGCGGTAGTGGGATGTCAAAGGAGAGAGATAGCCTCGGTCACTACTCACTACTCCAATGTGGACTAGGGTTGGCATTTTAGATATCCCTTGTGCCGATCATGTTTGTGCTATCTTCCTCGTATGTGAACTACTCTCTCGAACTCTGTTTGTACTTACTTGTAATGTTGCTCTTGTGATTACCTTCCTAGAATTGCCATGTGTTGTTTCTAGGATTGGAATTAGTTGCAAGGCTTTTTGAGAAGTAGGACAGGTACACCGGATAAACCTATAACACATTTAGATACAAATTATTGATATAGGTCCATCTTGTGTTGGTTTTAGAACAAATATTTTTTAGAAGCATAATAATTCACCCCCTCTTATAATGTCACCACCAGTTGTTACATTTATAGCAGTTTTGTCAACAGGTTGTATTAGTAGTACATAAGGGTTTGTTTGGATGACTATGTATCCACCTCAATCCATGTGTTAGAGTGGTTTGGCGCCATGCCGAACCACTCGAACAGATATGGATTGAGGTGGATACATAGACATCTAAACAAGGTCTATGGTGGATTGAGGTGGAACAAAACAATTATTTTCTAGTCAAGAAACATGTACAGCATGATAAAAAAATGTTTTACTTGGAAGGAGAAATGTTGTGCCGGGTAGTTTGTTTGGGTATTGGGAATTATATTCCATATATATTTTCATGAAAATGTCACCTCACCAAATCATTTTCTTCAGTTAGAGGTTAATTAGGTTGTTTGAGAAATTCAATTATCGCCCCTTGCAAACCTCACATAATCTTGACTCATGGTGTTCGATCTCCGTTTAATTGTTTAACAAATAAAATGAAAATTGCATGCATATTACATTACATAGAGTTGAAGTTGTGCATACATATTACATATATAGAGTTTATGGAAAGGAATGTAAGAGGAATGGCTACTACTAACTAGTAGCTAGCTAGTACACTAGCTACTTAAAACATGTGCGGTGGTGGTTCATCGATGATCGATCCATCCATCAATCAATCATATGCATCGTCGTCACTGCAGGTTGTTGATGGTGTGCAGGCGCGGGATGTACTTGCGGAGCCAGATCTGGCGGTAGCCAATGGTGATCTTGACGGTGTGCTCGCCGTTGAGCACCAGGCTCACGAATGCCTCGCTCTTGAAGATGATCCTGCCGTACATGGGCGGCGTGCCCCTCGTCGTCTTCTCCATCAGAACACGGACGATGCAGTCGCCCCACTTGCTGCATTTCAGCATTTGCATGCATCAATCAATGAAGGCGATCGATCGAGGAGATAAATAAATAAAGATATATATAAACACCGAATGCATGCAATGCAGCTTAGATATATATAAACACCGAATGCATGCAATGCAGCTTACTGTCTGAAGTAGTCGAATATCTCTTCACGGTCGACGGGGGGCTGCCCCTTTGAGAACGTGACGAACATGGAGCGGCAGTCCTCTGGCACGGTGACGGGGCTGCAGGTGTAAGGTAGACCGACGAGCCCCGTCTGGTAGCGGCGCAGCAGGCGGTCGTCGAAGATGAGGGCACCGACGCCGTCGAGGATGTCCGCGACGCCGCGCACGACGAGGTCCTGGTTGAAGGCTAAGAAGGCGGTGTCGATGCCGCCGTCGTGGCACTGGCAGAGCGCGGAAATGAAGGGGATGGGCGGGAGCACGACGGGGTGGTGGCTCTGCTGCTGCAGGCCGCGCAGGCAGTCCAGGATGCGGTTGGCCTCGCTGGCCACCATTCTGACGGCCGTGGCGTCCAGGGTCGGCAGGTGGCGGATGGGCATCGCCTGGTGGAAAGCCTGGTCCAGCCACAGCAGGAGCGCCACGGCGTTCCGTGCCTGCTCCGGGTGGCTGCCCATGCCGATGAACCGCTCGTACACGCTGCGAGCGTCGCAGTAAAAGTAGAGCATGTCGCGGACGGTGAGAGTAGCAGCGACGACACCTGCTGCTGCCGCCATGGCTACCTAGCTCCTAGCTGCAAGCACAGATTATATGGTTTGATTGATTGATGGAAATCCTAGCTATGAATGGTCGATTGATCGGTCGATTCGATGGAAGCAGGGAAGCGCTGTGCGGGCTGGGTATTTGTAGAACCAACCGGAAGAGCTATAGGCAGCTGCCGGCAGGTTATTTGGTTACATGCATCGGTTTCTCTTTCTCACCCTGCGTCCCTGCCCTGCTGGGTCAACTGTAGGTCAAAGCCGCGCGCCGTTACATGCATACAGATGACAGCTCGTAAGCAATTCAAAATAGGGTTAACCGGAGAAACACCGTTACAATTTTCGCGGTTCGGAGAAACCCCATTACTATTCGTCTATTTTGAAGCATGTTATTATAATTTTTCATTTCCCACAAAAATGCCACTGAATACGTATGGACACAGCCTGGGCCCAGCTGCAGGCGTATACGAAGACGTATACTTCATCTCCCTGTCACTGACACGCGGGCCCCACATGTCATCTTCTTCCTCTCTTCTCCTCCTCTCTCTCTCCATCCCGCCGAGCAGCAGCAGCTGCACGCCGCGGGCGAGCAGCACGCTGGCAGCAGCACGCCGCGGCCGAGCAGTCTGCGTCGGGGACGAGCTCGCCATGGTCGGGAAGAGCTCCCCATGGCCATCGGCGCCGAGCTCACCGGGGCAGTCTGCGTCGCTCCCCATGGCCGCCAGGGCCGAGCTTGCCCGCGGCAGTGCTGCGCTCGCCATGGCCACCAGGACCGAGCTCGCCCGCGCCTTGGACACTCGGGCTGACCTCGCTGGGGCAGTCTGTGCCAGGGACGAGCTTGCCGAGGCAGCCTGCGTCGGGGGACGAGCTCGCCATGGCCACCGGCGTCGAGCTCGCCATGGCCGCCGGGGCCGAGCTTGCCCGCGGCCGTGCTGCGCTCGCCGTGGCCGCCAGGTTCGAGCTCGCCCCTCCCCCATGGCTGGAGCTCGAGTAGAGGTCGTGCTCGCCTCTGCCAAGGCCTTGCGTGCGGGTACAATGCGAGTAGAGCTCGCCCTCGCCGTCGGTGCCGAGCACGCCCGCG